CCGGCCGTTAACACGATAACTTTTGAAAGGAGAGTCCAATCGCGATGAAATTTTCTACACAGTTCAGTCTTAACAATGTCTCGGTCGAGTTCGAAGATGAGCAGGATTCATCAAGAAATGGCTGAGTTATCGAAAAAATTGTCATTATTGAGAAGACCATCCCTGAGGGGGGTACAGGGATTTTTTCAAAAAAAAATTTTTTTCTCAGAATTATTCACAACATATATAAATCGACTCAGTTTTTAACGCTGATTCCGAATCTGATATTAGTTTTGAACCAAATTGTAGCTTTCTAACAAAACATCCCATGAAAAATGTCTCAAAATGCAGAAAAACTGCATGCAAAAAGCAAATAGACTAAATATGGCTCAGTTGATAGAAAACAGTGAATATATCTCTTCACTTTTCGCAGTACACATAACACTCGGATTTAAATCCGAGGTTTTCGCATTTATTTATAAGTAGAAAGAATTCGGTAATATCGTGATGATAAGCAGATATTTGATATCATATGATTCGTATTGCGAAGAAAGATCATTACAACTTTAATCTCTTGTGAAATGAAATCTCGTTAAATTATCAGATAGATATGAATAGTAGCGGAGTCTATACAAAGGATTACTTTAATATAGCTTTCAAAATCTTTCAGCATGCCTAAACGAATAGAACCTTTCTAAGTGTCAAATTGCTTTTCGATTGAGACGATGTGTATTTGATGAATGGTTTTTCAAGCCTTTTTTTTTTCTGAAAAGAAATCGAAATTTTAGGCTAAAATTTGCCTGATGAACAAATCTCATTATGAACTTTGTTCATGCGAAATTTGAACTATTAAGTCTGTTTTTCATTTGACCTGAGAAGGATCACAGCTTTTTATTGAGAAACTCAGTAAAATTTCGATATTTGAAGAACAAAAACATGGAAAACCAAATCATTTCTTTTACTCATCAAATGAACATTGTCTTGGTCAAAATACTGAATTTCGAAGGCAAGCGAATTTTGATGAAACAGGCCGAAACCTATGGCATTCGGACTGAAATATTGCTCATATTAGTTGGTTTCAGTTTCATATGATAATAGACAAATCAAACTCTAACTTATATTTACAATATTTTACTTTTATATACAGTAATCAGACTTATTGGCCATTAACATTCTATGTATCTGGTAAAATCCAATTTCTGAAAGTTAGAACTATTAACCAAAGCAATGATCTAAATATTTTTCATTATTAGAATTAATGTGTAGATATTGAGACGTTAGAAAACTAATATTTTCCATCAAAATTTGTTGTTCGAAAGAATAGTTCTCACATTTCACATAGTTAATGAATGATATAGAATAAGATTTTCAATCATATTGTTTTTTTTTTTTAGATGGTACTCAACAATTTGATATTATTCCTTCTTCTGAAAAACAACTTAAATATGATGATGGTAATTTACGTTTTCAAACTTCTGCTCAAATTACAATTAATAATACTGATCGAGAACCAATTATTCCATCAAAAATCTTACGTCCATCAGGACGTTTAAGTCATTTAAATCAAAATCATACAAGTGAATATCAAGGTCAACAATTACCAGGTGTTGGTAATCTTCGTGATCCATTATTAGAACGACGTATAAAACGTGATCGTGCTGCAACTCAAATTCAAGCTGTCTATCGTGGTTATACAGTAAGAAAATCACTTCATTGGTTTAATGACAAACAACAACAATTACATAGTGAATTTAATAAACGAGTATATTCTTCATCTTATTCAATTTTTGATAGAAAATAAAAACAAAATCTTTTTTTTTTTCTTCCTATGTTTAATAGCCAATTTCTAAATCAACGAAAATCTCTTCCTATAAAACAAATATGCATGATACACCAGCCACAAGTTTAGATATACGTTTTACTGATGATAATTTTACGATTGGTTCAACACTTTTACGTCATTTTCAACGAAATGGAACTCATACAATGCCATTAAAAAGTATGTACTGTAGAATATGTCGTGTTCAAACTTATCGGACTCATACTTTGATATTCTCAATGAAATTTTCTAATCGCCATCGGATAGTCACACCAAAGATACGAAATATTTTTTTCCATGTTTTTGTATTCGACGATTAGACTTTCTCGAGTTCAAAACCAACTTGACAAATTCTAATATATGAATCAAAATTTGAATCTTTTATTTTTTCAGCTTCGGTACATCCATCTATATCTGATAGATATGAACATCAACAAAAAGAAATAGAAAAATCTACATCATTACAAAATTATTCAGATGATTATGAAAATTTGTCAAGTGCAACATCATCTATGTCAATTCACCAGCAACAAACACCACAGAAACCTCGAATTATTCAACAACCAGTATCAAGTAAGTTTTTAATAACGATAAATTAAATTTTTCCATGAAATTATATTACCTTTCGAAATTTAAAAAAAAGAAATTCACTATGTCGTATACGAAATTATTTTTTTTTTATTCATCAAGTATATCAATATATATGACAAAGATTATACAAAATTTATTTGTTGCACAAGACTGAATGTCTATTTTCCGAATAAGAAGAAAAAAACATAACTAATTGATAACATTGAAAAATTTATTCTTTATAATATTCTAAGACTCACATTTTCTTTGCATTAACTTAAATACTACAGGAAAACAAAAAGACAACGTTGTTAATATACGATCAAAGACCCTATATATATATCCTCATCGTATTTCTGCAGGATTAAGTAAAAGAATGATAAATAAATGTGTTAGAATAAAATCATGTTTGTATTATTAGCAACAGCAATTTACGTCGTAATGCATATATATTAATCTCGTAGGGATTGTGCTAAAAGCTTTTTTAATATCTTATTGAGCATATAGAAAAATACTCTGATAAAATTTCAATAAATTTGAAACTAGAATATGAACAAGGTACTCATTTTATTATAGTAAAACTTTTACTCATGAACATTATTTTGCAGTTCCTCTAGCTATGATAATTTTTCTATTGTAAACGTTTTTTTTTTTTTATCACCTATGAAAATTTTAAGCATGATTCGATTATTGTAGGTGTCAATAAAACGAATAACATCGTAACATGAGTTTATTTTGCAAGAAAAAATAGAAATTAATTAATGAGTTCGAATGAAATTCAATTGACACTGATATTATTTGAAAAGCAAAACGAGAAATAATATTAGGAAATTTAACAAGAAAAAAAAAAATTGTCTAAATATGTGAATATTTTCTGTATAACTATCTAAAACTATTTTATTCTATCAAAAATTATTTTGCTACATTGATAATATTATTATCGATTTTGAAAAAATTTTTTTTTTTTTTTTCTAATTCAAATATCACCAATTTAATTATATGACGTTCTGAAAAGCTTTATATTATGCATCATGATTAGAGATGTATTGAAGCTAAAAGTAAAATTTTAACCGGAACCAGAACTCAAATCAAATATTCTATGACTTTAAGTAAATTATCTTATTAATGAAAATATAATTCAACCGAGATGGCCCCAAAAATTGCTTGTTAATCGATTAACTAATTAAAAAAAAAACGAATGAATATTGAAGAATTCTTTTAGATATGACACGAATAGTTTCTCTAGACGAGAACCGAGACCAAAAAATCTTGGCTCCGTACACCTCTAGTCATGATAATGTTTTTAATCTTTTAAAAAGATACAAATAATATAAAATTATTTCATATTTTTTTCTCTTCACATGAAATTCCTTTAGATACGGAAAGTACTAGTTCTCCAACATCATCATCATCTTCAACCAGTAAAACTCCAACACCTGAACCTATTGTACCTTCTAATATTCAACGTCGTCGTTCAATATCCCCTCCTATACCACCAGTAATGTCTCCAGATAATGGTCGACCTGTTCGTCATTATCAACGTCCTCCACGATCACAACCAACTTCTAATCGAATATTGGATGAACGTCGTTATTCACCTGATGCACTTGAACGACAATTAAATGCTGAATTACATTTACTTGATGGTGTTGAAGCATCAATGAATCAAGTTGAAAATATGGAACGATTAAGATCAGTTGCACTTGCACAACAAGAAGTTGTTTCACTTGCACAAGTGTTAAAAAATGTAAAAATTTTTGTTTAACAATCCTTGAATTACTTTTGTTCTTTATATTGTAGAAACCTTCAACAGATAGTGTACATCAACAACCAATACGAAAGTAAATTCGTCTTTATTTTTTTTTTCACTTTGTTAGATTCTTTATTATTGATTTTATTTGTTTAAAGATCTGCTCCTCGAGAAGTTTCATCTGTGTCTTCCACCGCCTCCTCATCATCATCATCATCAAGTCGAAAACATCGTTCACCTTCACCTAAACAACCATCATCAAAAAATAAACATTCACATCATCGAATTACTCAATCATCTAGTTCACCATCATCAACATCATCGGATCCGTAAGAATTCGAATATATTTTTTTGTAATAAATTATTAATGTTTTTTGTTTGTCCCGATGAAGTTAATTGACGTATTTCAGACATAATATAGAAAATAGCTTTTTTTAAGGATAGCTTATTTTAGATATTTTATTATATTTTACTAACCAATATATGAATTAATTGTTATTGTTTTTTTTTTTATTTGAAATGCTTATTTTCTTATGTATGTTATTTTATACTTAAGGTTAAAAAGCAAACGTTCTTCTTTTATTTTTCTTTTCGAAATGATAACATTAGTTAGTATGACGTAAATATCGTGGTAAATTAAGATTCGAATGAAAATATCTATTTGATGTTTTCCCACTTTCATAACTATTAATTAATTCTTCAATAAATTTTAAAACATCATAAGAACGTAATGTTGAATAATATAAATCAGGTTGACGATTATTAACATCTTTATTTGATTCGAGTATATCCATAAGTTCATCATTGACTAAAAGTGGTGGATGAATAATATAAGAATGAATTAATAATGCAAAAAATAATGTGAATAATACATAATGATAGATAATTGTCATTGTTTAAATGATTCTTTAGATTGTCAAATGAGCTCTATGTTATAGATTTTCTGCGTTATATATTGAAAGGTAAAAAGAAGGAAAAGAAAAGTGGGAGATAAAGTTAAATTTTTCTTTAGAAGAAAAAGGAAACAAAAAAAAAAAAAATCTTTAATAACACTAGTGAAAATTTAATAAAGAAAAAAAAAAAAAAAAGAAATCTTTTTCTTTTAGAATCTTTACTAAACGTGAAAAACATGTACATCAAAAATATCATAATGAAACTGAATTGCAAGCATATGAAAAACGTCTAACAGATATTGAAAAACAAATTCGTATACTTGCGAAAAATGGTATGTTGATTTTTTTTTTCTTTAATCATTAAAAATAATAGATTAACATGATTTTTGTTTTATTAAGGCCCCCCCCCCCCACTCAAAAAAAGTCAATTTTCGTCGAAATGGAGATAAATGCATGGGAAGATAGCCCGTGATCTGCTCTTTCATAACTGATAAAAAGTTTTCCTCGATACCTCCTTTCTGTCCAAAATTTTCGAAGATTTTCGTCAACCCCTATTCGAAAAACCAGCTGTTTTTTGAAAAATTAAAAAATGTTTTTCGTTTTTTCTCGATTTATGATTTTTTGATTTTGGTACAAGGATTTCTCAGTCCGGATCCGTCCAACATATTTAAATTTTTTTTGTTTGAAAGAGCATGTCGAGATGCACAACTTGCCAAGGCCTTTTTTTTTTATTAAGCTTTTTTTTTATTATTTTAAAGATATTTATATCGGTAGACCCCCCGTTTTTTGATACCTTCAACTTGTCACTTTTTTTTTCACATAAAAAGTAAGAATTTAAAAAAAAGGGCCTTGGCAAGTTGTGCATCTTGACATGCTCTTTCCAAAAAAAAAAAATTAAGCATATAGCACGAGCTGGGACCGAGAAATTTATGTCCCGAGATGAGCTATTTTTGACCCTTGTTTGGTGAATATCTCCCTTAAACGTCATGATATACGGCTGAAATTTTTACCATAGCTTCTCCACTATAACCCTAACATATCCTGAAAATTTCATGCGATTTGCATGTACCGGAGCCGAAATCGATTTTTCAGTGGGGGGGGGGGGGCCTTAACAAAATAATTAATCGATATTGTTCGATGAAATTCATTGTGAAAAAAAAATCATAATTATTTTTATTTAAATAGCACCTGAAATACACGATGAAAAACGAAATATTTCAACTTTACGTGTACCACCAAAATCAAGTAATGAATCAAGTATTAGTGAAGATTTACCTATGTCACATAAATCATCAAGGTAATAATTTATTATTTTATTTTATACTTAGTTATTTTATCTATTTTATAGTTCAACAACTAGTACAATTCAACGAAAAACAAAGAATGGCACTAGTGAAATTCATACAGAAACGTACGTAATCATTTATGATTATTCTTCTTTTCAATTGTTCGTGTTATATGATCCTAAGATTTTATCTTTTACTAGCAAACGTTGTTTGTTTTTGATAGATAAATTAAACTTAATACATCAATCGAAAAATGAATTTGATCTATTTAGTAAAATAATGAATGTATCATAATAAAACCATGTTATACACATCAATTATAGCAAAATTCAGACTGAATGATACTAATGATGAGAATATAGTTTTTAAGAATTTTTCTTTGACAATCGATAATTTGCTTTTTAAAATACCCTAGAATTATATACTTTTACTACATTCTAGTGGCAAATTCTGATTGTTGAGTTAATATAATAGATGAAGGAACATTTCACTTTAATTCGAAGTTAATGTAGCATGAGTTTTTTCTAGGAAAGAAGCCAAAATATCAAAAAATATAAATCAAAAGATATATGTTCTAAAATACGAAACTTCAATACATTTTTTTCAATAAAAATTCTTTTAGAGAACTTATTCTATTCCAAATAGATCCATTATTATATTAATTAATGAATTCTATGCCAAACAATAGAACTTAATAAAACTAAATTGTCCTAAATATCGTCAGATTTCTATTTGTGAGATACATAATGTAATTTCATCCAAATAAAAGATTGTACTGACCTAATCAACCAAAATTTTCATATAAGTGACTCGATCGAATAATGCTTTTATACTCTCAATGAAGTTTTCTAATCTTAAATGAATAGTCGTCACGAATATACAAGATAGGTTTTTGTATTCGATAACTAGCGTGTCCTACATATTTTTATATATTCAAAAAACCATCCAACTGATAATCTTCGTATCATTATGCCTTTCTTCTTAAGTCATAGTCATTTTGTTGGAATTTTCATTTTATTGCAGGATATCACAAGAAAAATTGCAACATAAAGTTTCGACCTGAAATTATCCCTAAGAATAGCTCGCATTGTTCTTCTGTTATCTTGAAAACATAGCACACATTTTAGACATGCAATATCTTAAGAAATAATCATTCGTTTGAACTAAAACTCGTGATATTCTTCAATAGACTGAAAGTTCAGTAAAATGATCATAACTCGGTTGAGCAAGACTTAATGGCACGAAATCTTTCAGGATTTCTATCTACACTATGAGCTTAACATATTGTTACCATTTGTGAAACGTTCTATAGACGTTCTCAGAAGATACTTTCAGTCTTCGTTATTTTACTGATCATTTTCCATCTATCATCTATTACGCTAAAAATCGATAAGAACTTTTTCTTCAAACATTTATAATATTAACAATATATGTAACTATAATAAAAAAAAAATAATTATATTTCTAATTGAAGGTTTACATATGAGAAGCTATAATTATCTTTAAAACTATTGATAAAAATTGTCATTACTCTAAGATAAAAAAAAGAAAAAGAATCAAACATTTTATTTAGTTCTTCCTATTCTAAACGTAAGACCTTCTATTTACTATAATTCGTATATATCGGTATTTAATCATACGAAAAAGAAAAAAAATTATCGAATTACGGTAAAATAAGGATTATAATATTATTGGTTCCTAACTTCTATGTTAAGTAAGAACAACATTCCTTTCACTCACGTATTTGACTCATTTCATTCGATCTATATAAATTGTTTTCATTTTTCATCTTAGAGTTGAGAAAGATAGTGATTCATCATCAGCATCAATTCATCAACAACAATCAGGTAAATGAATGTGTATTCTATTTAGAAAAATATATCTCATTGAATTGATATTTAGATACTATTACTACTGATGCTAGTGATATTGAACGTCGTATACGTTCTTATCGTGAACAATTAAAACGAAAACAAATGGAACTTGAAAAATTAAAACAAGAAAAAACAAAAGAAGCTTTAAGAAAAAAAGAAGATGAATTGAAAAAACAACTTCAAGTAATAAGAATTATTTTTATATATTGAACTATAATATTCATTAGAATGAGATATTTTGTAAATTTCATAAATTTTGAAAGCTTTGAAAAAAAAAAACCAAACAACATTCTTTTAAGAAAAAATTTTATAGTGAAACTAAATATAGATCATATTGTCAGCCTCTTTAATATTACGGGAATATCTATATGAGATGTAGTAGTAGATATAAATATGTTCAGTTCAAATCAAACATCAACTTATATTGATCAATGTTTGAAACATAAAATTTAATTTTTTAGACAACTACTCATGAAATTGAAACATTACGTCTTCAACCAGCATCGCCAAAAATACAGCCAGAACCTAAAATACCTGTTTCTTCACATCAAACACCATTGAAATCCAGAAGTAACAGTAGTAGTAGTAGTAGTACTTCAACAGCAACAAAACCACAAGAATTAAGTATAGCTGAGGATTTACCAGTAACAACAGCTTCACAATCCAAAACTGATATTGTTGTAAGATTATAAATTAATCTATTATTATTGTTATTACTAAAAAATATCTATAAATAGGAAAAACAAATTGAACAAAATCTTTCAACAGTAAGGAAACAACGAGACTTTTTTGATGATGATGACGATGAAGAAGAAGAAGAAGAAAATAAAGCAAAAGAACCAGAATTTAAACCTTTAGAAACACCACGTGATGAACGAGATACACAAAATGATGCTCAATCAGTGTCAATTGCTACTGATTTAGCTGCTTCATCAGAAACAGACAATGATAATAGTCGTCGACCAAGTATTGATAATGAAAAGTGAGTATTTAAAATACAAAGTATTCAATTTTATGATGGAATCTCGCTACATGTCAGAAAGATTTTTCTACAAAAACAACGTTCATTTGATAAGTAATAGAACAGTTCATATCAAACCATTCTAGACTTTTCTATTACTCAGCAAATAAACATCGTTTCCATGGAAAAATGATTTTATATCTGAAGAGGTTCCCTTGTCAGTTGAATGATTAATTCTTAATTAGAAATATTTTGAAATCATTCAATCATAAGGACCGATGATCTTCTGTAACGATATGACATTAATTTGTCAATACAAAAAAAAAAACTCGAATATCGTTATCTATCTTATAGGTCAGTATTAAATTTAAATACAAATCTTCCTTCACTATCAAAACCACAAAAAGACTCGGAATCTTCAATATCATCATCATCATCATCGACAACAACAGCATCCAAACAACAAGTACAATCACGATCATCTGAACGAAAACCATCACCAGTTGCAAATGATTATGATGAAGATTTTTCTGAGACTAGTCATTCACGAACTACACCTTCGAAAGAATCTTTACCAAAACCAAATATTGATAATATTGATATTGAATCAATTAAAGAAGATCTTAATGATAAACAATCATTACATGATACAAATCAAAGTTTATCATCAAAATCAAGTGGTGATGAACAATCCGAAATTCTTGTTCTTGTTAAAAAATCAGCTAATAATACACCTCGAAGACAAGATGATAAAACACCTAATGAAGAAGAACGTTTTCGTTCGCCTTCTCCACCTCTTCCTCCTCCTGTGCAAGTACAACAACCTACAATTGATTCATATAATAATGATGATACTTCACATGATATAAGCGATGATGATGAACCTAATGAACGTTTTGAACAAGAACATAAAATAGATAAATTAACTGAATCACTTATTCGAACATTTATTGATGAAGCTATTGGTCAAGGAAAACAAATTGAACGTTTAAAAAACGAAACAAATCTATTAACACAAGAAGCTAAAGAATGGATGTCCGATGATGATGATGATGATGATGATAATGAACCTGAAGAAGACAATTCGAAACCAATGATTGATGAATCAGTAAATATCTGTCATTATTTTTGTTTTCTTATAGAAAAAAAAAATTTATTTTAGAATGGCTTTGCACTTGATCTCAGTCGATTGGATGAGAAAAGTTGTAAGTTTTTTGTTATATTTCATATTTGAGAGTCAGATTATTTATCGTAAATGATAGTTTTTTTAATTGATATATTGAGTTATGCATTATATTCTTTTGTGATAGATTCATAAAATTTAACTATTATATAAATATTTGTACTAATCATGAATATTCAATAAGATGAGATTTATTTAATCATAAATCGTAGCATCTTGTATTGACAAATTACATAGGAGACGTCCTTTTTTTAATAACTCCTTCATCGCGCTCGATGTTTAATATAAAGATGTGCAGCATAAACTTCTCCTATATCATAACTAAGAAAAATTTTGTGTAATTTTTACTTTACAAACATTTTTTTTTTCTTATTAATTTAAAAAAGTATTCAAATATAATTTCTTTTTGGAATTTCAATTAAACAATATATTATCACTTGAGTTTTGTCGTCATTTCTCTTGAATCCTTCTTGTTGCACTGAATATTCTTTCATTAGTAAGAAAACCAAATCTTGTATAAATTATAGCCCATTTTTTTTTTGACTAAGCTAATATAGATTCTTCATTGTTTATAACTAATCTAGCTTTAATATTAAACAATGAATTTCATCATCTAATCATCATATTTTGATTTCTTTTTTTCGATATTTTTCTTGGCTTAATAGTATTTACTATCGGATTTAGTTTGAATTTATTTTACATTTATCTGTCTAGCAATAAAGCCCAAATACTACATCGTCCTTCAAACAAAGTATTTGGGCTTTATTGCTAGATAGACTAATATATAAAAATAAACTCAAACTAATATTCTCCAGATTCATGTTGACACAGTAGACTTGTATTAGTTAAAAAAAGATTCTAGTGAATAGCTTTGACATAACCTTGAAGTATGGAGTTTTTACTTTTCCATTCTTGAAAACACTAAATCAGTACCGAAGATCAAAGTTCGACAATACAATTTTATCGAAAAATTGGATTCATACACAGAAAATTCACTAAAAAGTCAATATTTTGGTCAAATCTTACCATTAACACGAACTCTGTCAATGATGTTCTAGTCTATCGATCTCCTATGACTGGGCACAACATAGGCTCAAAAGAATTTTGATACATTCACGGCTAGTCGAATAATAACACTTGAAAGACGTCAGCCAATAACGATCGTCTTTCTACAGTCCTGTGAAGATGATCAAAGAACCAAACAATGACATGAATAGAGGTGTAAGCCGAAGGGTCAAACAGCGGCGGCTGTTTTAATGATTTAATTTGTTTTCCATGGCGGCGGCGCAGCTGGATGACTGACACATCTAGACATGAATATGCCATGACTTCGACGATTCTGTTACTCTAGTTCTCTTCTACAACCCTAGATTTTCACCCTTCCCCTATCTTGTAAAATAGGTTATGAGAACTTGCACAATTCAAAGTTTAATATAGATGCGCAAGTCCCATAGAATTAAAATAAAATGTTAGTTCAAGCGACCATAATACCTTGATTCGGAAACACTTGACGGTCATTTACTATAGAAAATGAGGGAAACAAAAGGAAATTACTCTTATGATAATACTGAAATCAATTAATAGGAGAACCTATGGTAGCGAGAAAGTAATATAGTATTTAAATTATTCATGCTAAATATAAAAATCAAATTTTCTTTGAACTAAAAGAGATGATTTCCGTTATGAATAAATAAATTAGTTCTATAATTATGAATCTATTTCATTTTATTTCTCAAACTATTTAAAATTCAAAGTACAACAAAAGTTATCATATTTTTATTGATTCGTGTTTACTTTAATGAAACGAATCTCGAGTAGTATCCTCATCCTTCAATCGCATATAGTTTAAACTTAAGATGATAACAAAATCATGAAAAACAAAAATGAACTTACTTTTGTTGGCTCAACCATGATCCTCCTCAGAAACATTAATTTTCTAATTTCGACTGAAAAAATTTGCATAAAGATAAACTTCAACGAGAATTTTTTTTTTTATGAGAATATACAATCTTTTTATTGTTCTTATCCTAAGATACGGCTATGCTAAGAACATATCTATTTACACCGTTCATATATATTGGTGGATGCGATGTTCGTATTTCAAGATAGAAGCAAATCGAAAGTTCTGAAATTCTCATAATAAATTATTTTTGTTAAAGTCTGTCTCTATGCAAAATTTCAAGTCGAAATTCAAAAACAAGTTTTTTTTTGATATTCCTAAAATCGACAACATTATAGAATTAAAAAAAAATACTATTAAAATCCAGTATCTCCGCAAGAATAAGCTAATCATTCGAACTCTTCTCAAGGTATTCATAACTCAATATGGTCTATAGAAGACATAAAGTTCTTGACTGAAAAGTGATAAATTAATTCTAACGAGGGAACCGTTCCAAGTGATTCACGCCGATTTTGCTTATATTTTGCCCATATGTAGGGGTCAGTATGCTAAGAAAAAGCCTAAGAGGATTTGGGCCCATGTTGCTTCTTTCGAA